TCATTAAATGATAATTGATATTCAGAACAAATATAAAAATCAAAATAAATTAAATTAGGTATTATATCAGATAAACAATATTGATGAATGAAATTTGCATCAATGAAAGACTTTCATGTATTTTAACATCTTGTTTCGATTAGTTTATCATTTTTAATATGAAGTTCAAGTTTTTGAATATACTTTGAATTGTTAACGAGCCATTTCAAATAGATAAAGTCTAAATCATCTTCAATGAAAGTTTTTAAACTAAAATATCGTAGCTTTGGTATCTATAAAGATTCAATTAATTTAATTCATTAAAAGAAATATTTATAAGATAAATAATATATTTATTTTTAGTTTTTCTTTCCTTTATCAAACCAATTTGTCTTTGATTGTCTCAATGTCTCAACATTTAATTTTCATAATGCAAATGAAACTAATAAACAATCAAATTCAACTGATAATTGTTCGAGATTAGGTACATGTTCAATAAGACTTTAAAGAAATCAAGTTTGATTAAGTCGAATATATAAATGACGAAGAGTCAAACAATAAGATTGATATTGATATTGAAGAAATTTGTAAGTGAGATAAGAATTTAGTTTCAAACATTGATGAATTGTACCATCTCTACAGTCACTACTAATATCAACTCGAAGAAATGTTAATTTTTTTTTTTTAATTAAAATTCAAATCTATTTCTTTATAGAATTTGTTTTAAATTTTGGATTATTAACTATATGATAATTTTAATCAGATAAGAATCTTCTTCACTTATGTTTCATCGAAATCAATGTGTAATATAGTTCACATATTATTAATTTCTTTTCGCATGAAATAATATTCAATAAAAATTCATATATATATATATTTTTTTTTTTATTTATTATCTTCTTTTATTTTTCTTATCTATTTCTTATATAAAATATATAAGTACATAAGTAGTACATCTTGTAAAGAGCATCACGTGTTGTTTCATTTGACAAAAAAAAAATTCATTAAATTTTCATTGTATTTATCTTTTCTTATGACGATCTCTTGATTGTGACCGATCACGTTCTGGTGGATGTTCTTCTCTATAAAAATGAAAACCATCCGTTACCATTTTTATTCAAAAGACTAAAAAAAAAATACCTATAAGTAAATATGTTAGAAAGCTTTAAAGCATCTAACGATCTAATTACTCGATAATAGTCGCCACGACGAGCTAAAAAAGATAATATTTAATTCAAACAGCACTTTATATCTTAATGATCTTACGTACGATCAAGCCTTGCTTGATCTTCAAAATTATTGATCACTTGTTGTAAGGTACATTGTATTGTACAGTGACTAGAAAAATAATCTGTCATTATTGATTATTAATAATAAATAAATAATGTACTTGAGGATGTAGAAAAAGTCAGGATCTTTTGAAATATCAAAACCTTCTTGTTTTGCTTTATTGATATCGTCAATCACATCTACATCAAAAACATACAAAATTATTAACATAGAGAGAAAAAAAAAACTTACTCTGAAATTTAGCCAATTTATAGTAGCATTCTGCTCGACGTTTGTAGACCATAATTAGATAATTTTTGTTTGTTGTATTATTTTGTTCACTAAGAATTTTTGTGAACAACTGTAAATTAAACAAAATCAAAAACAATAAATAAAAGGAGGAGTGTTTTACATACTGCAATTGCTTTTTCATATTCTCTTGCTTCTTTTTCAAGACAAGCAGTAGTGTATTCATCAGTAGCCATTTTAATTTCCAATATTTGATTTTGTCTCTCGATAGACAGTGTTAATGTTAAACGAATAGTATGAATAAAAATATGACCTATATATAAACGAACGAACACATGAATAATTGCTGACGTCCAAGAAGATAAAGCGCAATACAGACTTAATTCAAAGTGAATTAACCAATATAATTGGTGGTGTTACGTAGAGGCACCAATCATGTTTCTTAATTCACTTTGAATTATAAGTCAGTGTGTTTGGGACCTCTATGAATTAAAATGAATTAACTCGTATATGGTTGGTGTTTCTACGTACCAACACCAATTACTTTTCTTAACTCATTATCATGATGTCGTTAGTGAGCAAGTGAATAAGCTATGGTAAAATTTTCAACCCGATATCATGACGTTTGAGGAAGATATTA